ACTCATCGCAGATGCTTGAAATTTTAGCACAATCTTTGTTTAGGTATGCCATATGGTGGGATTCATTTTTGTATGAATTCAATGTCAACTTCCTGTTTATCCGTGCGTCTGTCCGTGCCATACATAACAAATTTTGGTCGCAGTTTTCTCAGCAACTACTCATCGCAGGTGCTTGAAATCTTAACACAATGTTTGTTTAGGCATGTCATATGTTGGGATTCCTTTTCTACTAATCCAATGTCAATTTCCTGATTATCACTGTGTTTGTCCATAATTGAACTTGTGTATTCACATCAGAGCGGGGGTATTATTAGTGAGCATTGGCTCACAGACTTCTTGTTATATTTACATTCTTAATATATTGAAAAAGACATCTACTTTATAATTATTATTAAATACTCTACATTTAAGCTCACTGAGCCCAAGGCTAAAGTGAACATTTCTGATTAAAGAGTGTCTGGCATCTGTCTATCATTCATAAATGTTGAGTCATTTGTTTTTTCCAGAATTCAACCAAATTTGTCACTAGACAATATTTGGTGGAAAGGATTTAATTTTTTTCAAATGAACAAATTTTGCATCAGTGCATAAGCTTACATAAAAGCATATTGAATTGTTTTGCTGAAACTGTGTTACATGCATATAGTTATTTAAGAAAAAAGTGATATCAAGGTCCAAGGAAAAGTCCTGGTCAAAAATTTTATGTTGCAGTTCAATAACACTCTTCAAAATGTATCAGCATATGAAGTTTGAATAAAAAATCACAATTTTTTCTTTAAAATTGAGCTTAGCAATTAACACAAAATTGAGAGAAGTCAAGATCAACAAAATTTATGCAACTGAATAGCTGTTATCAATATGTATAAGCATATGAAGATTGATCCAGATCTCTTGAATAGAGCTACTGAGCTACTTACTAATCTAAGAAAAATGAGGTCAAGGTCAGGGAAAAGGTCAAATCAAAAATATGTTGATGAACTTAAATGGGTCCCATCAATATGTATCAGCATATAAGATTTGATAAAAATATCTTAAATAGCTCTTGAAACTGAGCTAAACACTCTAATTTAAGAAAAGTGAGGTGGTTCAAAGGAAAGGTCAAGGTCAAAAAATATTGAGTAGCTCTCATCAGTATGTATCAGCATATAAAAGTTCAAAGTGTGATGGAAGGACACAAGAACATGTTATGGGGTTCAAGTAAATTTTTAATTACAAACCTTTAGGCTAAGGTGAGGCCACAATATTAGGTAATTTTTCATTGGTATAAAGGACTTTTTTTAAAAAATTCTTCAGCCAGGAACAAGGTGACTAAGGTGAGCATTATTAGGTGTCTAAGGTGAGCATTATGGCCCATGGGCCTCTTGTTATGTGTCCTTTTCATTGATCAACAATCAAGTGATGTAATAGTATTGTTATATTTCAGTAATGCCTATGGATGACGTCATAACCAATTTTGAAAAATGTTTTGTTTGAAAGAAAAGGATCTGAAGAAGGAGAAAAATCTATTTAAATTCGGATGGATTTATAGACTGCCAGACGTATTGCTATCACTTAATTCTGTACTACTAGATCTTTTACACTGAGCCTATAAGTTTTAGACTAGATGATTTATCTAATTTGAGAATCCATGACATCAATCTTTAAGCATTTCAAGATTACCAATACAGAATATGTACAGATGCAATAGCAGATGAAATCCCACATGTACATGCACAAACAGTACACTGATATGTTACTGAAATTCAGAGATATTTCATTTCTCTCTTGTGTGGATTGAGATTGATCTAAGAAAAAAAAAGGTTTATGTCAGACTGAAAAAATATAATAAACAAATTTCTTTAGTTTTGTTATGCGCTTATATTTTTAGGAAATATGTACCAGTGTATCAGACAGTATATAGGGAACTTGTACTGCGTCGCTAGTGAGCTAGCTTTTCTAGTGATGAGGTAAAATCTCCCTCTATATTAGACAAGTTAAGCAATGTCGAGCCTGTTTAACCCTTGAATGGGTGACTGCTTCACATTACATTTACATGTAATTTTTTTTTTTTTTTTTTTTGAATACTAAATTTGAGTGTGAATTTCTTCTCATGGTCAAGCATGAGGTACTGCATAATTGTCATTTTTACATTAAAATGTGTGCATGTATTTATGGATTATCAGACACATATACACTATATAAAATTTTTCTCTTTGTTTTTGATACTTATGTAAAAAAAAAATTGTGGAAAAAAATTGCATAATTTTCCTAATTTTTACCTTTTTTCAGTTTTGACCCCATATTATGGCCATCATTTGGTTCCTGTACAGTGCGAACAAATCTGTATAATACATTAGCTAGTATTGTTTATGCCCCCCTAATCAAAGATGATTCGGGGGTTTATAGTTTTTGCCCTGTCTATCTGTATGTATGTCCCCCAAACTTAACTTTGCCCATAACTTTTGTTTTGTTGGAGCTATGGATTTCATTTTTCACATGTGTTTTCTTTGTGACAAAACCTTTTTTTGGGTACCAACATATTTGACCTTTGAGTTTAACCCATTTTTGCAAAATTTTACCAAACTTTTACCTTGGCAATAATTTCTGAACATTTGGGGCTAGGGCTTCATATTTCTTATGACAAGACCTTCCCATGACCACCATTAATTTTGACCTTGAACTTGTTGTTTGACTTTTGAAAAACTCTAATCTTCACCATAACTTTTCAAAGGTAAGTGCTAGGGCTTTCATATTTTACTGGCACATTTCTTGAGACAAGACCTGTCTTTGGTTAATAATATTTGTGATCTCTTGACCTTGACCTTGGAGTTTGACATGAATTTGAAAAACTTCGACCTTCACCATAAGCTGCCATATACATACATAAAAATGCCATTATCGCATGTACATATGGCAGAGCTCCAAGAAGTCAATCCAGCTTTTCCAACATGCCTTCCTTTATATGTTTGACATTCAGATCCAAGAAAATACCATAAACAAGAGGCCCATGGGCCACATCGCTCACCTGAGCACACTGGCTAGGAAAAAAAGCAAAAATCAGTTCTGAAGTATTGAAAAGTTAACGGGGGAGAGAGGGGGGGAGGGGGGATTTTAAACTACCTGACAATGCTTTCATACCAATATAACAAATAACTTTGCTGTTCTTGAGCAGAAGATTTTTTCCCATATATTCATTTGTCAAAATTTGATCCCCCCATTGTGGCCCCACCCTACCCCCGGGGTGCTCATTTGAACAAATTTCATTTTATACTACCCAAAGATGCTTCCATATCAATTTGACTAATCATGGCTTTTCTGTTCCTGAGAGAAAGATTTTTTCCTATATATTCCTCTGTAAACTTTGATCACCCATTGTGGCCCCACCTTAGCTCCGGGGGTCATGATTTGAACAAACTTGAATCTACACTACCTGAGGATGCTTCCATATAAATATGACCAATCCATCTTCGCTAGCCAAGGGTTTCTGATACGCTACTCTCCTCATAAGCCCTTGGCATACGGTGTTAAAAAAAGTTGGGATTTTTTTCTCAAGTTGTGATTGGAGTTGATCGACATCGTTCGACCAATCAGCAATTGTTTTTTGTAAATGACGATATTTGCGTTCGGGATATATCTTGACTCTTTAATATCGGTAATGTAAAACGCAAGTAAACAATGATCCGTAAGGTAACATGCCATTCTATGAATAGCTATATGGTGTCATCCAATATCTAAAGCTACGTGCAAAATATGTGATTAAGAATCTATACTGAAGATGTAGATTTGCATTTTTACATGTTTAAATAACAAATTAACATAAACTCGATACCTTCTTGTTAATTATTCTTTAAAAACTAAATTTTTTTAAATACGCTTTTTATTTCTGTCGATGACGCAATCTGTGCGTACCTGGGAAGAATCACGGTCACGTGACAAAAACAATCCCGTCTTTTGTCAGCACCGTATGCCAAGGGTTTATGAGGAGAGTAGCGTATCAGAAACCCTTGGCTAGCGAAGATGATGACCAATCATGCCTTTGCTTATCTTCAGAAGAAGATTTTTAAAGTTTTTTTCTATATACTCTTATGAAAAACTTGGACCCCCCCATTGTGGCCCCACCCTACCCCCGGGGGTCATGATTTGAACAAACTTGAATCTACACTACCTGAGGATGCTTCCATATAAATATGACCAATCATGGCTTTGCTGTTCTTAAGAAGAAGTTTTTTAAGGATATTTTCCTATATATTTCTATGTAAAACTTTGATCCCCCCATTGTGGCCCCACCCTACCCCCGGGGGTCATGATTTGAACAAACTTGAATCTACACTACCTGAGGATGCTTCCATATAAATATGACCAATCATGGCTTTGCTGTTCTTAAGAAGAAGATTTTTAAAGATATTTTCCTATATATTTCTATGTAAAACTTTGATCCCCCCATTGTGGCCTCATCCTACCCCCAGGGGTAATGATTTGAACAAACTTAAATCTACACTACCTGAGGATGCTTCCATATAAATATGACCAATCATGGCTTTGCTGTTCTTAAGAAGAAGATTTTTAAAGATATTTTCCTATATATTTCTATGTAAAACTTTGATCCCTCATTGTGGCCCCACCCTAACCCCGGGGGTCATGATTTAAACAAACTTGAATCTACACTACCTGAGGATGTTTCCACATAAGTTTCATCTTTCCTGGCCCAGTGGTTCTTCAGAAGATTTTTAAATGATGCCATTATTTTTTCACTAATTCCTAATTATTTCCCCTTGAAAGAGGGCGTGGCCCTTCATTTGAACAAACTTGAATCCCCTTCACCCAAGAATACTTTGTGGCAAGTTTGGTTGAATTTGGCCCAGTGGTTCTTGAGAAGAAGATGAAAATGTGAAAAGTTTACAACAACAACAACAACGCCAACACCGACAACGACAACAACGACGACAGACAACGGACAAATTTTGATCAGAAAAGCTCACTTGAGCCTTTGGCTCAGGTGAGCTAAAAATCATCACAAATCATCCATTTTCATATAATTTTAATACATTCTTTGGTACTTTGGTAAATATAAATACAAATTTCATAAATGCAATCAATATAAATGCAGAAATTCAAGTTTGTTCACTCATGCAGATCCCAGTTTAGAGCAGTAACCTGAGACACAGATGTGGCACTTTAAATGGAGTATTTCATATACATGTACAAATTTATCAAAAATGCATCACTTCAAATTAGTGTCAAATGATGTCAAAAGGACAAATTTCATGTACAAAATGTTCAGGAACAACACACATTCTTCCATCAAAAATTCTCTGAAATTTGCCAAGACTGTTCTTTCTTGAGAGTTATTCACATTGAATTTTTGTCCAGATCTGCACAATCTTCTATCACAAATTCCCTGAAATATAAAGTTTGAAACACAGTTAGAGTTTTTATAATTACCATGCATAATCAAGGGAAACCTGAGATGGAGAAATTTTTTCCTGCCAATTTTTTTCATGATAACTAGTCAGAAAAGGAAGCATCCTACTAGTGAAAGCAATGGTCTTCATGCCAAAATGAATAGATTTATTGTTTACTTAAATTTTATTACTTTTTAGCTTTCTCCTCATTGAAAATAAATTTCCCCCTTCATTAGAACAAAGAGGATTTGTGCCAGGTTTAGTTAAAACTGGTCCAGTAGTTCTGCTGAGAAAGTCTGATATTAAGGTATTCAGTGTATACTGAATGGATTTTGAACTGTTTTGAATCATTTTAAACTAGTTAAAAATGTATTGCTAGATAACGATGAAAGGGAAATGAACCAAATTCACATGACTGATAACATGAAAGAAGCTGGTCATTTTGCACTTTAACATTTTTTAAAGAGTTATCTGCCCTTGACTAAAAACCCAAAAATTTAATTTTATCAAAATATCTGTGGCAAATGATTCATTTTATTTCATATTTTAATAAAGAGAGAGTTTATGCATATTTTCACCAAGAGCTCTACATGAAATTCAAATTACTTCTTACAATATCTTAATAAAACCTGCGCTCCCCATAGACTTCATTGTAAAATTCAAGGTGCAATTTATTTGACAATTCCTTTGGTGGAGTATTTTTATTTAATAATACCAAGGGTTTTGAAAAGACACCAATTGATGCAAAATTCTCGTATAATATTCAAAGAAAAATATACGAAAATTACTAAACATATATTCTAGATGTTTTGTTTATCCAAACTTGTTTAAGAAGAAGTGTACAACAGAATATATAGACATTAAAATTTAGCACACAGTTCCTTTTAGTATTGGAACTCTTCAACTCCAAGGAAAACGACAATAGAGTTCAAACTACGTTGCATATGTCCTTAAGGGATCAGAAAAGCTCTCTTGAACCATATTGGATCAGATGAACTTCCAGGTCAAAACAGAAAAAGAGACCCAAGTTCAAGAAAATCAAGCCAGGCTGATGGATTTGAGAATTAAAGCATCTATGATCTACATTTTATTTCATTTGTCACAAGTCCTTTTTTTTTGTGGTCAACGGAGTTCAGCTTTAAATTTGTTTCTTCTATCTTTTATTCATGTACGCAATATGATGAATAATATAAGGCAAACTGCCAAAAGACATTCTGTCATATGAGTGATGAATACAAAACCAATAACACTATTAATAATTATGCCCTGAACATTTTACATTAAATAGTACATAATTATATTCATGCTATGCTATGCATACAGTCAGCATAGATCTACAGGAGACCCACAAGGAATTTACAAAAATATTAAATGCCTAAGAAAATAAGCAAAAAAAAAAAAGAAGGTCTTTGACCCCCTAGGAAAAACAGACCCTTGTAAAATGGTTAGGAGTGTCATGCATCTGAAGTGACTTGTCCTGGCTACACCCCCCCCCATCCTTGCAATGCCAAGGGGCCCTGAGTCAATACATTGCATGGGACCCCTGGTCAATTTCATTCATTATATCATGGGCTGACTGTAGCATTAACTTTAGGGGAATTTTCAAATCGATTGTTTTTCTCATCTCTCAACCAATCACATTAAGCAATATTCTATGATAAACAACTTGTAACAGGTGATTCTTCCTGTTTATATTATCATATCTAAATATTTCTGAAAGCTTCAGTTTGATTGGTGCTTCTCAATGACAGAAGCGAGACCTAAAATATCACATGAAATTAGCCAGGAGTCCCAGGCAATGTATTGACTCAGGACCCCTGGCATTGCAAGGATGTCCCCCATGATACTTTTAAAACATGTCTATCCAAGTGTTTTAATGAGTACAATTGTTTTGTTGTGTACATTTTATTCATATGTGTATTTAACTATTTATATATGACTATGACCCCCAAAAAACCAAAAAAAAAAAAAAAAAAAAAAACCAGCGGCATACTGAATAATTGACTGATGCTTTCAAAATAAGAGCCCTAAGGGCCACATATCTCACCCGAGCACTGTGGCTAGGAGAAAAAAAGCAGAAATCAGTTCAGTATTGAAAAGTTTAAATACATATTAGTGGTCCCAACCTACCCCTAAAGTGGTGGGGCATGATTTGAAGAAACTGGAATTTACACTTACTGAGGAAACTTCCATATTTATTTGACTAATTGTGGCTTTCAAAGATTTTTAAAGATTATTTTCCTATAAGTTTTAACTTTCATTGTGGCCCCAACCTTCCCCAAGCTATATTGATTTGAACAAACTTGAATCTACACTATCTGAAGAAACTTCCATATAAATATGACTAATCATGGCTTTGCTGTTCTTGAGAAGATTTTTTAAATTTTCCCTATATATTCCTATGTAAAACTTTGATAATCCATTAAAGCTCCACCCTACCCCTGATTTAAATAAACTTGAATCTACACTACCTGAGGATTTTTCCACAAAAGTTTCATCTTTCCTGGCCCACTGGTTTTTGAGAAGAAGATTTTTAAAAGATGATATTAATTTTTCACTAAATTTATTTGTAATTATCTCCCTTTGGAAGGAAGTGTGACTTTTATTTGAACAAACTTGAACCCCCTTTACCCAAGGATACTTTGTTGTTAAGTTTGTTTGAAATAGGTCAAGTGGTTCTTGAGAAGAAGTAAAAAATGTGAAAAGTTTACAGACAGATGGACACTAGACAAAATGTGATCAGTAAAGCTCACTTCAGCCTTTGGCTCAGGTGAGCTAATAAAAAGCAAAGTAAAAGAAAAAGGTTATCGCTTACCTACCTTCCCTAATATTTTTGGCATGTTACCAGAAACAAACACAATATAATTTTTTAATTGGCTTAAAGGGAGAACAGTCCTTCATTCCAGCTGAACCCAGATTGACACCACAAAGAGAAATACTTTTTGGAAAATGCTAAAGTTGTCTATTGTTAACAAAGGCTATATTTTTTAATGATATTTATCAAGGACTTAGTCACCTTACCAATAACTTTTGAAATAGAGCATCGGGTATCCCTTGCACTGTATTCCCCAATTCTTGCTTCCAGGCAGAATTTATTGTTCAATAGTTCCATTTCCTATCTGAGTTCTCTTTGAATCTGTAGCAGAATGACAAACTGTATGCAAAATCTAAAAAATATCATTGGGTACATGTACGAGTATGATTATGTCATGTACAAAGGAGTAGACATGGTAGATGAGAAATAATTTTGGTTAGGAAAAACATTTTTCACCATGTTAAGGTCACCACCTTTTCATAAAGGGGTGGGGGTAGAGGTGGCAAATTTTGTCAAGTCAGATTATTTATTTATTTTTAGCCTTCACAGGACAGAATATTTATTTCCAGTTGATCTAAGAATGATTATTTACTTTCTTTTCTTGTCCAAAATCAGAAAACCACTTAAAACCACATGCAAGAAGGGTGTGTGGGGGGGGGGGGGGGGATGAGATCACAGTGATAGTCATGGTCTGACAGGGTCATTGTTTTCCTTTATTTCTAGCAATGCCAGTGGATGAAGTTAATTTACTTAAAAATCAAGGTTAAAATATTTATTTCCATAATCTATCAGCCCCCCCCCCCCAATCAAATGATCGTCCCTAAATGCTCTTAATCAGGCAGGTGGTTTTAATTAAGTACTAGTATGTGCTTAATCTCACATTTATGCGTATGGTCTATTTCTGACAGCTGTCTGAGGCAATTCGAACTACCTGTTTGTTCGGTAGCTCTAGCTTAATTACAATATATTGACAGCTGATTCAAGAGACTTATCTGAATGATGCCAGTCACTTACATGTACATTAATGATTAGTCTTTACTTACCGCTTATAGCCTAGCTAACGTTGGACTTTCTGTCTTCCACTTTGTTTACATGATCGAACAGCGCACATGGCCTTTTCACGTGACGATCCCCTCGCATCGACGCTTGTTTTCCGTCACGCTTCAAATAATATTTCTCCACGCTTGAAATAATATTTCTCCACGCTCAAGATAATATTTCCTTCACGCTTCAAATAATGTGTGCAGTCACAATTATAATCGCGTCTCAACATAATTATTGTTTCAACAGGAGGACAGAGTTTTCGTTCCTGTCACTAGAAAAGAAGTTATCTTTCCTGTTGAAAAATAAAAATAATTGCGAACAAGGGCGCACATCATTGTTGCAAAGATTATAACGTCGACTTGGTACATTATAATTTTTAAGCGTGTAAATTTTTATTTATTTTCAGTCAGTACATTATTGTTACAGGAGGTGAAGTCTTATAAATTGTTGAAGCAAGAATAATTATAATCTTGGTGCAAAATAAAAATTATGTGTACGAATCGACTGACAAGATTATAATTTGGAGGTGTATAAAAATAATGCCTCCGTACTAACTGAAAAGATCATAATTGTAAAGTGAGAATAATTATTATAATGTAGGGGCAAAATAAAAATAATGAGTACACATGGACGGACAAGATTATAATTGTTGTGGGAAAATAATAATGTAAAAAAAAAAAAAAAAAAAAAAAGATTTTATTTTGGGATGAGATAATTATTTTTGGTATAATTATATAGGAAAAAATAATAATAATGTGGGGGTACCCTACGGCTTTCCATAATATATATATATATATATATATATATATATATATATATATATATATATATATATATATATATATATATATATATATATATATATATATATATATATATATATATATATAAAATTCAAAAGTAGTTAAAAGATGATGTCACACAGTAAAAATAATCATAAAAGAAAAAGAAAATGCACAGTTTCCAAATTTCATTTAACACAAGTGCTTTCTGGATTTAACAATCCTTCTTCAGGTGAACATACTTTTTGTGTTAAATGAAATTTGTCAACTGTGCATTTTCTTTTTTCTTTTATGATTATATATATATATATGTATATATGTATATATATATATATATATATATATATATATATATATATATATATATATATATATATATATATATATATATATATATATATACTTCAAGAAAAATCCAATTTTTGGTACAGTAAAATATTGATATATCCAATGAAAAAAAATCAAGAATCACAAGACTCGAATAATCATTTTAACTGTAAGCGCTTTCTGCATTTTAATGGTTCTTCAGACAGTTAAAAAATCTGTCTGAAGAGCCATTTAAAGGCAGAAAGCGCTTACAGTTAAAATGATTATTCGAGTCTTGTGATTCTTGAATTTTTCATTGGATATATCTATGTATCTATCTATCTATCTATAATTATATATATATATATATATATATATATATATATATATATATATATATATATATATATATATATATATATATATATATATATATATATTTACATTTCCAATGTATTTGTCCGCGATAAAATTACAAACTGTAAAAATACTTAATTCTACATAAATCTACTGGTTCATCGATAGGCGCGGTTAAAAAAAATCACGTGCGGGGCGGGACAAATAGAGACAGAAGCGGGGCTATTAGCACGGGAATTTGCAGAATCAGGAGCATGTAAATATAAGGAATAACTGTCTTATTTTTTGGATTCATGACGATGATCAATCGATTGGCTTGCGTGATAATTTTATGCATAAACGCCTTCGGCGTTTATGCAAATTATCACGCAAGCCACTCGATTGATCACATCATGAATCCAAAAAATAAGACAGTTATTCCCTAAATATATGATTTAGTTGCATGAGCTTGTGATAAAAATACATGTTATTTGCTTATTTCAAAACAAAGAACACGTATGTTTAATATATTGATTATATGCATTTCTATGGAAAGCCGTAGGGTACCCCCACATTATTATTATTTTTTCCTATATAATTATACCAAAAATAATTATCTCATCCCAAAATAAAAATCTTTTTTTTTTTTTTTATTTTTTTTTTTTTATTTTTACATTATTATTTTCCTACAACAATTATAATCTTGTCCGTCCATGTGTACTCATTATTTTTATTTTGCCCCTACATTATAATAATTATTCTCACTTTACAATTATAATCTTTTCAGTTAGTACGGAGACATTATTTTTATACACCTCCAAATTATAATCTTGTCAGTCGATTCGTACACATAATTTTTATTTTGCACCAAGATTATAATTATTCTTGCTTCAACAATTTATAAGACTTCACCTCCTGTAACAATAATGTACTGACTGAAAATAAATAAAAATGTACACGCTTAAAAATTATAATGTACCAAGTCGACGTTATAATCTTTGCAACAATAATAATGATGTGCGCCCTTGTTCGCAATTATTTTTATTTTTCAACAGGAAAGATAACTTCTTTTCTAGTGACAGGAACGAAAACTCTGTCCTCCTGTTGAAACAATAATTATGTTGAGACGCGATTATAATTGTGACTGCACACATTATTTGAAGCGTGAAGGAAATATTATCTTGAGCGTGGAGAAATATTATTTGAAGCGTGGAGAAATATTATTTGAAGCGTGACGGAAAACAAGCGTCGATGCGAGGGAGATCGTCACGTGAAAAGGCCATGTGCGCTGTTCGATCATGTAAACAAAGTGGAAGACAGAAAGTCCAACGTTAGCTAGGCTATAAGCGGTAAGTAAAGACTAAACATTGATGTACATGTAAATGACTGGCATCATTCAGATAATGTCTCTTGAATCAGCTGTCAGTTTATTGTAATTAAGCTAGAGCTACCGAACAAACAGGTAGTTCGAATTGCCTCAGACAGCTGTCAGAAATAGATCATGTGCATAAATGTGAGATTAAGCACATACTAGTACTTTATTAAAACCACCTGCCTGATTAAGAGCATATAGGGACGATCATTTGATGGGGGGGACTGATAGATTAAGGAAATAAATATTTTAACCTTGATTTTTAAGTAAATTAACTTTATCCACTGGCATTGCTAGAAATAAAGGAAAACAATGACCCTGTCAGACCATGACTGTCACTGTGATATCCCCCCCCCCCCCCCCCACACACACACACACCCTTCTTGCATGTGGTTAAGTGGTTTTCTGATTTTGGACAAGAAAAGAAAGTAAATAATCATTCTTAGATCAACTGGAAATAAATATTCTGTCCTGTGAATGCTAAAAATAAATAAATAATCTGACTTGACAAAATTTGCCACCTCTACCCCCACCCCTTTATGAAAAGGTGGTGACCTTAACATGGTGAAAAATGTTTTTCCTAACCAAAATTATTTCTCATCTACCATGTCTACTCCTTTGTACATGCCATAATCATACTCGTACATGTACCCATTGATATTTTTAGGTCACCTGAATCACTCAGGTGACCTATTGCTATCTCTTTTCGTCTGTCGTCGTGCGTCGTCCGTTGGTCGTAAACTTTTGAACATTTTCAGCTTCTTCTCTGGAACCAGTGAACCAATTTCAACCAATTTTGGCATATAGCATTTATGGGTGAAGGGGAACAAAAATTGTGAAATTCGAAATTCGTGGCCCCTGGGGCCTGAGGGGTGGGGCCAAAACCATCAAAATTAATGCAATCTTTAAAAATCTTCTTCTTTACTCCTGGACATCAAGCAGTCAAACTGTTGGCATGATTGTAATAAGCATTGAGCCCTCTACCAAAATTGTGAAATTCATGGCCCCAGGGTCAGGGGTTCTGGTGCTAGGGTGGGGCTATATAGATCATATAGTGAAAGTGCATTATTTCTTTGAAAATCTTCTTCTCTACTCCTGGGTATTATTGAAACAAATTGAATACATAGTTATGTTGAGCAAGGGTGACTCTACCAAATTGTGAAATTCATGGCCCCAGGGTCAGGGGTTCTGATGTTAGGGCGGGGCTATATATATCATATAGTGAAAGTGCATTATTTCTTTGAAAATCTTCTTCTCTACTCCTGGGTATTATTGAAACAAATTGAATACATAGTTATGATAAGCAAGGGTGACTCTACCAAAATTGTGAAATTCATAGCCCAAGGGTCAGGGGTTCTGGTGTTAGGGCGGGGCTATATAGATCATATAGTGAAAGTGCATTATTTCTTTGAAAATCTTCTTCTCTACTCCTGGGTATTATTGAAACAAATTGAATACATAGTTATGATAAGCAAGAGTAACTCTACCAAAATTGTGAAATTCATGGCCCCTGGGTCAGGGGTTCTGGTGTTAGGGCGGGGCTATATAGATCATATAGTGAAAGTGCAATATTTCTTTGAAAATCTTCTTCTCTTCTCCTGGGTATTATGGAAACAAATACATGGTTATGATAAGCAAGGATGTCTTTTCCAAATTTGTGAATTTCATGACCCCTGGATCAGAGGTTCTGATGTTAGGGCGGGGCTCTATTTATGATATAGTGAAAATGCATTAATGCTTTAAAAATCTTCTCTGCACCTGGGCATATCAGAGGCAAAAAGAGTAAAAGTTTGAACAAGGAAGGGTATTTTTACCAGATTTTTGAACATCAAGACCATTTGGTCAAGTTTTCAAGTCCAGGCCAGGGCTCTATTAATTTGTATTCTACTGAGAGGAGTTATTCCCCTTTGCCATTTACTTGTGATAATTAATCACTGTAAATAATGTACTTGAAAGGTTAATAGAATAAGAGAATTATGCAAGAATTTTTATTGTATAATACAAAAAGAAAGTACTTTCATAGTTTTAATGATCAGGTAGACTTAAGACTTGTCTTATTAAGGTTTTCCATCCCTAATAGGAACTAATTCTCTATCCTTAAATATCAATCACGTATATAATACTCTGATATTAATTCAAAGAACTTTACAGTAGAAAAGGATTCACCAAGTGAAAGTTTCAAAAATGTTATTAACTAAGCAGTATTTAATAATTAGAAATTGCATTAAAGTCT